TACTACATTTTAGCAATTGGTCTCTAATCCCTAGCAAACTAAAAGCATCAGAAAAAAATTATCAGAGGACTTACTGAGCACCATTCTGAGAACCTGACTTACTTATCTCCAGACCACAAAACAACTATACATGGAAGGTATCACCCTCATTTCTCAGGTGAGCAATGTGAGGCTTAATCAGGCACAGTGGGTTGCCCAAGGCCACAGAGATAGAATGCAGGGGAACTGGAAAGCAAATCTAGGCCCATTTGGCTCCATACCCCTTTCTATTTGAATTAATTTGGACTCCTTGGGGCCTTTTCTATCCATTTACACCATACTCTTCTCCTTTCTCCTGTGTATGTTGTACATTTGCTCCCATTTTCCCAACTGAACCCGGTGTCCACTCCTATTTGTTTCTATTCCCTCACCTTTCCTTCATTCTTGTATTTCCCAAGACTACCAAATCACATCAGAAAACAGAGTAAGTATAGGTGCCCTGTCATTACAGAGCCTCTCCTTGGTTATTTGGAAGAAGAGAAGACTGACTCCCCAAGCAGACCTAACAGCAGCTGGGTGATCAGAGGTGGGGAAACCCTACTGTGTTATCTTCAACTTTTCTCAAACAAGACTTGAAAGGGAGGAAAGAAGAAGGAAAAGGCTGTCGTTAGTGTAAACAGTGCAGATTTAATTAGAGTCTTAAGAATCATCGTATATTTTTCTGTTTTGCTTTGGAGTCAAGACATACAGCATCCTTCTATCTCTAGGAGCTTTTCCCTGGTATATCACAGGAATGCTTCACAGTCAATAAATATTTGGGAATGATGATTAAGAAGAAATGATGAAAGGAGCACAGCTCAAACGAAATGATATTGAAAGAGTTACTTAAAAAAATTCCTGAGTTTCAGATACAATTGATTTCTAAGAAATCTAATGTACTTTAGATTCTTCCAAGTTTCTTGGCCTTTAGAATGAGGTGGCCTTTTAGGGAAAGGCAGAAGGATTTCAGGAAAAGAATATTACACATCCAACTCCATTATTTTTCTTAATATCTTAATATGAACTCACATAGTCTACCCTATTCCTCTTAATTTCACTTCTACTCCCAATATCCTGTCCAGGGTAGACAAGGGGATAGAGAAAGCAGGTTCTGAATGTTTTATTGATAGTTTCTGCTGACGTCCAACCAAGGAGATATTCAAGCAACAAAAACAATACTTAGTAAAAAAGAGTAAAAAACAAAGATAAATTTTGGTCCATTGGTTAAAACATCCTCTTAGTAGTCCAAGGTCCCATCACATCTATAGATTTTAATACGATCACATCACTTAATGCTAATGACAGGGATATGTTCTGAGAATGCATTGTTAGGATATTTCATAGTTATGTGAACATCATAGAGCATACTTACACAAACGTACACAGTATAGCCTACTACACACCTTGACTATATGGTATACAGCCTACTGTTCTTGCCTAGAAATCTGCACAGCATGCTACTATACTGAATACTGTAGGCAACTATGACACAATGGTAAATATCTGTGCACGTAAACATATCTAAACATAGAAAAGGTACAGTAAAATTATGGTATTGTAACTTTATGGGCCCACCATCATAGACACCATTTGTTGTTGACCAAAATGTGGTCATCTAAATAAAAAAGTTATGTGGGACATGACTGTATTAAAATAAATGTCATGAAACAGTAATAATTGTGATTTTCTGATACATGGATTATGGAGAAACCAAATGCCTAAGCCCACAGAGGATCACTCCAAAGGCTTATGCAAAGATGAAAGAAAGAGAAGGATTCTTTTTTATTTAAGTGTAAAGTAATATGCTATGGGTGCCTCCAGGATTCATCTAGTAGTGCAATACCACATTA